GTCACTTATTGACCAGATAAATAACGAAAGTGAACAAAAGCACATAAATATACAATTACGTACAATCATAAAAATCATATAAATTAAAGCTGGGATAAATGCTAATAATAAATAGTGTCAACTTGGATATGATATATTGCGACTTAGTGCTTATCCCAGCTATTGTCATGATTACCAAGTTTGTGGCGTAAACAAAGAGGCCACATGGCATGCTAAATGCTTGCAAGACGCTTGCAGCGCCACCCAAGGAAAGTCATTTCATGAAAAGTACGAAGCTTGTCAAATAATTGAAGCAAAAACACAAGTAGAGATTTTTCCCCCCCAAAAAGCTTACCGTCTTTAGCAACAATTTAAACATTTAACTGATCTACACCTATTAGGCCGTATTATTCTAAAGAATTTCTTGATTTTGTATTTCTGCATTAGCTTTTTACTGGCATAAGCCCAAATACAATTGTCCCACGAAACATCTGAGATGGCATCGAAGGACGTATCACTTTGAGTACAGGATTGTCACATATTCATGCTTTGATAAGATTTGTGAGTTTTGGGTCACTAATTAATGTAAAGTAGAAAGTACTAGACACAATGAACCAAACATAAATATTTAAAACTACACAAGGGATCCATTTAATATTTAGTTCAGTCAGAGGGGGGGGGGGAGAATTGAATGAAGTGATAAAAAATGAAGAACCTTATTTATATTTTCCTATAAATATAATAAATTTCCGTGATTTATACTTTAATAAATCTTTCTAGGTTAATTATATATTTTTTATCTTGTGTGTAGCCGATAGGCAGGAGATACATAATCCTCCATGACATTTAATCCCACCTCTGGTATTATTTAGAGATCCTGGTTTATTCCCATGAAATGTTTGGAGTTTTTCTTAAGGGTACCGACCCTGTGATAAATTTTAAATTTTCTGAAGTGAAATTTATAGCAGTGGGTCGGGACCTCTTAATTGATTTTTAGGATGATAACTCTTCGTTACCTTTATTTTTCACTTCATTATTATTGCAAAATATTGTTAATGAAGTACTGTTTGGTCCATTTCCTAGAAATTTGTGCCTTATCTTACAAAATATTTATTTTGCTTGTTTTCCCCTTACACGCATATATCATTGATTTTATATGAATAATTAAAAGCTTACCTTCTGTTTTGTGGACCAATATTTCACCTCTCTATGGCAATGTTTAATTCAGCTAAAAATACAAAAACTATTTGTGATAGAAATAAAGTATTGGAACATTTTTTCCTAAATAATGTTTATTTTATACTTAGGAAAACAATATCCGTTCAAAAAACTTTAAATTTTTCATATAAGTGTTTTATCATCAATAACCACAAAGATGTCACTAAATGTCCTTGATGAAATAAAAAAGGGGATTTCTAATTTAAGATAAATATTTCTTGAATATTTCTTCAATCTACAGTTTTTTTTATTACATGTAGACATAACAGGATTGGAAAGCAAGAACTGCAAATATAAGTCCTTATCATGATACAAAACTTATGGTCAGAAATGTTAATTTTAGCTGCATAACATTGAAAAAATATTAATGTATACCTTCATATATTCAATATAAATATATATAAAAATGCAAATAAAAAAGTATATAATTTGAGCTGGTGATTTAATTATTATAGGGTTATTGAACTTATATTGGTGAATATTGATACTCGTTTGCTTTTAAAATGCACTCGCAAGCTCGTGCATTTGAACAGCCAACGAGTGCCAATAATCACCAATATAAGTTCAATAACCCTATAATATTTACAGGATCACTTGATGGAAGTAGAAATCATGTGTATATTGCGTAATTCTCAGAGGGAAAGAAGATTCTGAAGCATAATCTTTTAATTTATAGTTAACCTTTATTTTTTGATAATCCCTCTCAACTCCATTCCATACACCAAAACTCACTTATATGCATGGGGCAGCCCATGCAGTAATAAACTCTGACATTCGAATTAACTTGACGTTTTTAATGTTTGCTAATCTTTACTATCATGTAGACCCGCCCATGGATAGATTTATTAGCCCTCAGGATATTTATCCAATCAGAAAATAGTTTATATAATGGTATAAAAGCTTGAAATGACAGATATTTCTTAAGAAAACTTCCGAAAGAACATTTACTATGATGAACAAGGTATTTTTGCGGGCTTTATTTGTTGTTTTGTTCCGGCTTTCAACATCTGTATCAAGGCGCTATGCTGCTAAAATGGACTTAGACGACAATATACTTCAGGAAAACCTGTTGACTGAATGTGATGCCCATTCACTCATTATGTGCTCTGCAATTTGCGGTCCAGAGTGTACCTACTTTGGTGTCAATTTACAAAGAAAGAAATGCCGGGTTTACGGCGGATGTCATTCAAATAATTCAACAGTTCCGGAAGTAGGATGGCGATACTATATTCCGGACTCTGAAGGTAATGCAAAATATACTCGCCTATACTTCAATTCTCTATTTTTTTTCAGATTACTTCACAGTGATTTACAATTACCACCTTTTAGGTTGGTATATTTTTTAATCCAAATTTAATGTCAATTTTTAAATATAATTCATTATAATTAACTGAGTTGCAAGGTATATTTCGCAGTTTATAAAGCGTCAACTTGTCCAAGTAATGTTATATCGTATTCCATAATTTGAAAAAATTACCTAATGTTCCAGTGATAAGTTTTATCAATTTATATTATGACACTGAAACACTAAACATTTGAGCAGTTAAGGAATATAATCGTGACTTAGCTGAAACCTGCTTTGGTGTGTTTTGTGGTATTTGGAGAAGTCTAGAATAGGCCACTTTTTATAATAAGCACGCAGAATGTAACAGGTAACAAATACCTAAATGTTAAAATAAAATAAGAACTTAAACAAAAGATCCAATTTCCAGAAAAGAAAGACAGAAATCAATGCTAAGCATTTTTTTTTTAGGTTTTTAAGACAGCAAAGTACCGGTAAACACCAAATTTTTTTTTTCAAGAAAACATTTTTAAATCAGAAAAGTAATCGATGAAAGAGTTACTACCATTATCAATTCGATAAACTTAGACTGAAACACTCCCCAACGACGTCATAATGTGAGGTCTATAAATATGAAAAGACTCCTTATATGTCAACTGAGGCTGAGTATAAATCATCAATTTTCCAACAATTGAAATTGATTCGTTTTTTTTAAACCAGAGGCATTAAAATTCACAAATTTTGAAAGACATCATTGCTAATCATATTTATACACACAGCATGCTTGCATTAGAATATATATTTAACTTCTAAAACGGTAGGCCAGCAGGTCTTGTATGCAGAATGCGAACTCTTTTGTCGTATCGGGTATTATTATGCATGTAAAATTAAGGCGGGAAAACTGAGAGTTTAAAAAAAATAATTATAAATAAAATAAATACATAGTATCATCTGGTGAGCTTGAGATAAGATACCACAGAGTCTGACACTTCTGTTTCATAGTTGGATATTTTACTTGAAAAAGACACAAATGGTAATCTTACAACCAAGCTATATGATAAATGTGATGACATTAACTTTTCAATCGTCAACTTCCATTACTTATGCAGCATTATACCTTCATCACCTGCATACAGAGTAAAAATATATATATCTCAGTTGATTTGATACGCAAGAGCATGCTCTACGAACAATTTCTAAAACGAGATAAATTATTATCAAGCAAGTTGATGAAACAAGAATATTAGCGGTCTCGTTTAAAGTCATCATTTCGTAAGTTCTATGGTCGATACAATGACCTGGTCAGCAAATACAATTTATCATTGAATCAAATGTATGTAATATTGCTATTTTTTTGTCATCTTGATCTTCCCCTTTTTTATCATCTGTCCTTAATTAATCGGTTACCTTATGCATATTTATCATTCAATTAAAAATCATCTATAAAAAATCTTTGTATTGTCTGTGGACAATATTACAGTATCCCAAAAAAAAAATCCTGTGAAAATTGATGTCTTCTTTAACTTTGAAAGACGTTACAGAACATGTACATGTTTAAGGCGTCACAGTAAGCTTTTAGAAATGAATGTGAGAAAATTATTTTTATGATTTTTATGCAAGGAATTCTAATCATTCAGAAATCATGGGTTTTTAATTTCTACGCTAGTTTTACATCATTTTTTTTTTTATTTTAATGCTTCAAATTAAACATCATATGTTAACCAATCAATCTACAGGGTCTTTTTATGCATAAAGAGAACCGAGCTTTTTAAGGATTATTTTTTTTGGTGCTTATTGACCTCACCGATCATATCAACCCAAACCTATATCCCATCCCACGGAGCCCACCTCATTCCACGGACCCAATCCCAGGGACGCAACCATATCCCACGGACCCCACCCATTCCACATATCAAATCATATTTCACAAACCTCACCCCATTCTACAGACCTCACCCCATCCCACGGACCCCACCCTGACCCATGATGGGTAATCACAGTTTTGAAAGGGGATTTTATTTTATTATTATATACTAGTATTTATGCTTAATATGGTTTGAAAATTATAAGAATTGCATCATTGCTCAGGGGCTGTTATGAAGTCATAAAAAAATTAAGTTCTAATAAGCATTAATGATTCAAGATTGTGTAATCTGTTTATATTCAGTCACATTTGAACAGAAATGAAAAAGAAATATATTATGTAATGTAATTTAGAAAATCCTTCTACCTTTAATCTTTAAAATTACATAGAAGGAAACTCTGCCTTTCAAATAACTTAAAAGTGACTGAAAGGGAGCTGAATGGCAGATATCTACTATTCACTACCCTTTCATTTGCCTTTCTTTCACTATTAAGATGACTGAAGTAAAGGTTCATCCGATGTCAATACGTTAAATTGATATGTTATTGTAATAAATATTTACTTCTTTCTTCTATATAACTGTTATATATTGCACTTTGTGTCTAAATAAAAATAATTATTGATCTTTCTATATAACATTAAGAGAACATTTGCCCGATGGACTGTAAACGTTTGCTTGCTGATGGGTTTACCTTATCCGGTGTTTATACGATTCATCCCTGGTACAACAGTTCAGTGGACGTTTTCTGTGATATGGATACAAAAGATGGAGGGTGGACGGTCAGTGTAATTAGTAATTAATCACTGCATGGAATTATATGAATACAAATTTTATTAAAAGATTTTGACGATCTTTTTTCTTTATACAATAGGTTATACAGAGGCGTGTAAACGGATCGATTGATTTCAACAGAACTTGGAATGAGTACAAAGAAGGATTTGGTTCTGTTCACTCGTCATATTGGATAGGTATACATATTTATATGTATTTAATTTTTGTAATGGATATCAAGTCTCAATTGATTTAAATATCATGCGGAAGATTTTTTGTTTAAAAGATGCATCTATTTTGTTAACATCTTATAAATTACATTATAAGTTCGTTATAACGGATGCTCTATACATTTGTTTAAACAAGTGTTGTGATACTAAGTTGGAGTTTTCTTTTTTATTTAATACCGTGATTCTGATAACAAAGTAATTTATATTCGATTTATTGATAATAAACTTTTTAAACGAAATGATAAAAGAGCAACAATTCCTTCTTGTAATCCCAATATCATATACGACATAAAATAGTACAAATCATTGTTACCCTGAAATTCATAATTTATTAACATTCATGTGCAATATTACATAATGTGGTTGATAGCTATTAAAGCTCTAAAGATTGCTGTTTGCTTGAAAAAAAAAATATTTTTATATGATAAAAAAAGTGAAACAATCTAAAAAATAGTATTCAATTTCAGATCCTTTAAAGATTAGAAAACTATATGCGGTATATAGCATATTTTAGAACTCACCAAATGGGGACAATTTCCTTGAGTAAGCTAAATAGTCTGGTCCAGATTTTTGAAAAGAAGGCTAGATACGAGGGGCATTTCAAAAGTCCTTAGAACTGTTGAATAAAAAATTAATCGTTTTACGGAAATTATTGAGTTTGATATAATTGGAAAGATAAGAAAAATATACACATATTGTGATGTCACTTTATAATTTTTATTACGTAATATCTCCGAAAATGACGTCAGAATATAGAATGTGTAGCATTCTGAAAACTCGCGTTTTTTATCCACATGGCACGATTTTAAAAGTGCTGCCAAAGGTTTATTTGAAAATATATTTCAAAGAAAATTTCCATTTGCAAAGAAGTAGAGTAGGACTATGGTACTTTTTATCAACAGTACTATATTTCATCGTTTGGTTTGTTTACTAGCGCGGTTTATGTCCAGGTTATGCTATCATCGACATTCATCCAAGATTTTAAGTTGCATGATACGACTGGATTTTCGGTCTTTTATATACTTCTCCATCGTATGAAATAAAACATTTTCTGTATAAAACTAAAGTATATTAACGCAATTTTCAACAAATATATTTTGAGTAACAGTACTCTTACCGTTTACAAATAAAATGTACAAAAGTTTTGCCCCTGACTTGTTTCTGTGCGTATTTTTCTCATTAATTCAAATTTGGCGCCCCAAAACTCAGTACTGCTTTTGACTTTTGAATCCAAAAAAGGTTTATAAATTACACAGACATGTAGAATCTTATTTAATTTCCATGAATTAATTTTTGCAAATATGTGGAGGTACGGTGGGGTTCCAACTGCGCCCGCGCCATTTTGGATTTTACGAGAAAATATGGGGCACACTAAACTTAACTTCTCTTAAGCCTTTAACGATCCCACAAATATGGTTAAAACACCTGACGAATTGATGCCATAAAATTTAGTAACACGATCGTCTATTTTTCTTTGATTACCAACTTTGCCTTATTCTCACAGTTGGGTCTGTTTTAAGCAATTTTTGAGCAAGATTCGATAGAAACATGCGATGTTTGACAATCGCTTTAACCATTGCATAACAAGAAGATCTCTGAAATAGACCACCGTATGATAGATTGTAGTCTATGTAAAGATTCTACCAACTGTCATTTACGTCCGATAGCTTGTACCCGAGTAATGAGCAAAAGTTGTTTTTAAAATTTTACATTGATGAAATTGTGCCTTTTGTTATGTCATTATTATGGTCAGTATTGTAAGTATGCAGAAGTATGACGTCATATTCGGAGTTATTACGTCATAAAATTATAAAGTGACGTCACAATATGTGTGTATTTTTCTGCTCTTTCCAATGATATCAAACTCAAATATTTCCGTACAAGAGTTAATTTTTTATTAAACAGTTCTCTGGACTTTTTAAATACCCCTCGTATAACTTCTAACTGCAAACAATTATTATTTGGTCCAGCATAGTTTTTTAACCTATTTCGAGTATGCTGAATCCGCCAAATATGCTGGCCTTCATGAAAATGGAGTGTAAAAAAGTCAAAAAGGCGATTCAAAATGACGAACATCTAATTTTTCTAATTTTCTCTTAATGTCGTTCAAAAAGGAGAAATAATGTGTGAATATATCACAGAGTGTAATGCAACTGTTGTAATGACATTTATTACATAAACAAGACAGTTAACAAATACACAAATATACAAAGATAACGAGCGCACACAGCAGCAAGTTATTATGTATGAGAGGCGCACACAGCAGCCCCAGACCGCACACAGCAGGTCGAAATAGTTCACAAAAGTTACCCGGTGGTTATTCACACAGAATGGAGTCTTCTTCTACTGGCTACACACGAAAGCGTGACGTCATACGCACACATACACAAAAGGGGTACACCACGGGATACATATAGAGGCTCGGCACAGGATACATACAACGAATTGTACTACATTCCCCCCTGTTCCAAAGAAATGATCCTATCCTGGACCTGAAATAAAAACAAATATGCGGCAAGTCGCTGCATTGCAAGAAATACGCAATACACAATAAACATAAAAAACATGAATTAAATTGATAAAGGCTCCTGAAGCTATGGAGGGTCTGTGCCAGAACGCCAAATACTGTTTTGATATTTCTTCCTTTGTTCTTGTTTCTGTCCCATCTACCTCACAACTAAGATTATCCTCTTGTACATCAGCATTGCACTCTACCTTTAACACTTCTGCAGGTTGTTCTGGCTCAGGGTTAATGACCTTGACAGCTAGCGGTACTACGTTGTCTATATCCTCTGAAAATCTCTCCCACGGTTGACAGGTTCTGGTACAATAATTGCAACCTCCACAAGGCAGAGATTCCAAGTTGGAACCTGCATTATAACAATCGCAAGCCTCCAATCTATCAGGAATACGTGATAAGCCATCTGCATTGGAATGCTTGTTCCCATTACGATGAACAATTTGCATATCAAACTGTGAGAGTTCCTCTATCCAGCGAGATAACTGCCCCTCGATGAGTCGAAACCTAAACAACCAAACTAAACTGTGATGGTCAGTTCGTATCGTGAAGCGTCGTCCCAAAAGATAATTACGGAAATGACGACAGAACTTCATAACTGCCAGTAACTCCTTGCGTGTTGTGCAATATTTCCTTTGTACTGGTAACAGAACATGACTGGCATAGGCTATAGTCCGTTCCTTTCCATCTTGCAACTGTATAAGTTCAGCTCCTATTGTTGCGTCAGATGCATCAGTGTCTAAAATAAAGTCATCAGTAGGAGTTGGGTAAGCGAGACAGGGTGCTGAGGATAGTGCTGTCTTCAAGTGTTCAAATGCCTCTTGGTGCTCAGTGGTCCAGTTAAATTGCTTCGCCTTTGAACCTGTTAGCTCATACAGACACTTTGAAATCCCAGCATATCCTTGTACATGTTCTCGATGATAATTAGCATAGCCAAGGAAAGATTCAACTTTCTTCTTATCTGTAGGGACAGGCCAGGACCGTACAGCATCCAATTTGGCTGGGGAAATCCTTACACCTTCTCGAGTAATTCGCTTCCCTAAAAACTCACATTCAGTCTGAAATAAGAAGCACTTCCTTGGCTTGAGCTTCAAGTTGTATCTGCTAAACCTCTCTAGGACTACATCGAGATTGTTCAAATGTTCTTCAAAGGACTTGCCGAGAACATTAACATCATCTAAGTACGCAATGACATCCTTCCATGTAAGGCCACGCAACACAAGCTGTATAACTCGCTGGAAGGTGGCGGGAGCATTGCACAGTCCGAACCCCATTCGCACATGCTCAAACAGCCCAAATCTAGTGATGAATGCTGTCTTTTTCCGATCTGCTGGATCAATTTCTACTTGATAGTACCTGGACTCCATATCTAATGTGCTAAAGTAGATCGAGCCAGACAATGTTGAGAGACAATCTTCTATGTTAGGAAGGGGGTAAGAGTCCTTGACTGTTTTTTGGTTTAACTGGCGATAATCGATGCACCATCTGACCGATCCATCCTTCTTACAAACTAACACAGGAGCAGATGACCATTCAGAAGTCGAAGGCTGTATAACTTTGGCATCTAACATCTTTTGTAAGTGTGTCTCTTCTTCTCCTTCAAATCCAAAGGGAGTTCTACGCATTTTTTGTCGCACTGGGGAAGAAGATCCAGTATTAATCTGATGTTTAATCTCTGAAAAACATCCCAAATCCAAGTCATGTTTTGCAAATACTTCACTATACTTATTCAGCAGTGCCTTGACTTTGTTAGCCTCATCAGCATTCAGGTTCTTGCAAGTTCTAACAAACAATTCACACAAGTGCTCAGGCAGATCCAGTTCCTCTGCTGGGCCTGGTTGGCTAACTGGTTGAGCACATTTTATGTAATGTTGTTCTACATCTTCTAATTCCTTGCTGAGGTCTATCGCATTGCCTATGTGCTTCCCGGCCTTTATAACAATTGTACCATTTGTAGGGTTCATAATGTTGACTCTAGCTAATTTCCCGGAATCAACTATGGTTGCTGCCATGACAAACTTTCTATTGGTCTTCAAAGGTTCAAGGACTAAATGTCTGTCATCATTAATGTTGGGTCCATCAATAACAACATTTGTACAGGAAACTGTATTTGGAGGGATGACTGTCCTTCCTTGCATGAAAACTTTCCTTATGTCAACATCTGTGCCACTTTCAGTTCTCTTGACTATCCCGGTAATGGTATTGTTGCCTATTTGCAATATGTTATCCCTCAAGTCTACAATGCTGTTGTATTTTACTAAGAAATCCAAGCCAAGTAAAATACTATCTGTTATGTCTGCGGCATAGAGATCTGCAAGGTAGGTCCTACCTATGCAAATTGGTACACTTTTAATTAAATACCCAGGTATCCTTTCATCAGGTACCACACCCCTTAGGTATATGAACTGCTTGTCGTCAATCATCAGTCCCAATTCTCTTGCGAGTTGAAGACTCATTACAGATACTTGAGCAGCAGTATCTATTACAGCAGAGACTTTCTTTGAATGTATATGGATAGGGATCACCAGGCTAGCTACATTTACTTGTTTTACTAATATTTCCTTAACATCCCTGTCAGTAGATGAATTCAGTTCATGACCGAGCTCATCCAATGACAAGAGTGATACATCTGGTGTTCCTTCCAGCTCTTCATGTTTCATAATTTTCATCCAGACTCTCATTCATCAGTAATGTCTGGCCATCATCTATTGGCTGGACTGAGTGTTGGCCAATCCGCCTAGTCCTCTGAAGTTTAAATCCCTTTTATCTGGGCTAGGGCTCCTCCCCTTGTCTCTAGCCTGAGGGCAATCCCTTTGCAGATGACCATAGCCCTTGCAGAGGTAACAGCGACGGCGTTGTGAACTTGATGGGGGTGTCGGTGACCTTGACCTTGGCTGGTCCTTCCGTTCCATAAGTCCTATGAGCTTGGAGATCAGGCCTTCCAGTTTTTCTGAGGAGTCTCGCCTTGAGTCATGAAGAGTGCGGATACATGCCTCGTCTGTAGCTGGCTCAACACAGTCGTCTTGGAAACTTACACGACGAGTACTGTAATTAGCTCGTGAACCGAACAGTGCCTTGCGATTATTTACAGCTGCTTTGACATACTTCAAGGCCTTGTAAATACTCTTTGGGTTCTTTTCCATAGCAAGGTGAGCAGCCTCCTTATCCTTGCATCCCCTTAGGAAAGCTTCTACCGCCATTTGATCAACAGTGCTGTCGTTTGCTTCTGGAAGTCCATCCATGGTTAGAAAATGGACTCTTTGAGAAAACTCCTCAAAAGTTTCATCTTCCTTCTGTCGTACAAATTGTAACTGTCGTCTCGCAGATATGGGTGCCTCCTTTGTACTGAATCGCCTTGACATCTTCTTTAAGAGATCCTGATAGCTACAATGTGTAAGTTCACGTGCAAAATCTAACGCCTTATCCTGCAGACAGTCAAGTAGCCTTCCCTTTGCTTTTCGCTCACTCCAATTATATTGTTTCACTTGTCTTTGGAACTGGAAGAGAAACGAGTCCCAGTTCTTGTCGCCACGAAAGGTAGGCATCTTAGGTCTTGATGGGCTCCTCCGGGATTTACCATGCCGAGTTTTCCTTCTGGATAAGTTAAGTGAGTCATCAGACTCACTGGAATCTTCCGAGTCTGATGAGCCAGAGCTACTTTCTCCTCTATATCTAGTAGCCTGTGTATGTCTCTTTTTTGGTTGTCTCAGGTCGGCACTGGAAAAATTATCTCCAAGAGTAGATCGCTGATGGCCAAAATCCAGTTGCATATTTGCACCACCCACACTACATGGGGTAGAAGATTGAAAGGATGGTCCTCCAGAGGAAGGAAATGCAGTAAATGACTGCATTGATCCCAACTCAAATGGTGAATGAGACCTAATACCAGTCATCATGTGTCCTCCTTCCAAGGTGCGTTGTCCAGGTTCTGCCCTCAAAGAGGTCAGATGCGGTGTCATGGGTTCATGCTTAATTCCTGCCCTGTCTAAAGGTGTCTGTGGATAACCCAGTGGCAAGTTTGGTATGTTTACGGGTCTTTGTCTATCTAGCTCTTTTCGAAGTTCAAAAATTTGAGTCTCTTTTTCCTTTAGGGCTAAGTCTTTACTATGAAGCTCCTCTGCCTGCATTTGCATTCTGCCCTGCTGCATATTTAACCTGTGGTGCAGATCCTCCTTTTCAAAATAACAGGCTTCTAATTTCTGGTTGGTATGTCTTAGTTCGCGACTAAGATCTTCATTACCTGCAGCTTTACTTGGTCGTCCGTTATTGTCGTTTAATTCAATGCGGCCTTCATTGATCCACTGCTGCCATACTCCTTCCTTGATTGTTGAGGCGTAAGCCAGAAGTTGAATGGAAATAGGGAAATTCAGCATATCTCGTAATTGAATGATGGCTTGAGCTCGCTTTTCTCCAATGTTCTCTAAAGTTTGGAGCTCTTCCTCAGTGGCGGTTTGAATATTTACACACATGTTCAATGTTTGTGATATTTATTGAAAAACAGCAGTACAAGCTTTTAATGTTAGACAATAGATAGAAAGAAAGAAAGTAGAAAGATTTAGCAATTTAATTATGGCAAATAACCATAGACAAATTGCTAGGGAGCAATTGGTAAGGTAAACAGTATTTGCTGTTTGATGAAATCAAAAATTAACACAGGTGTTAGTTATATGCAAAGCAATTTGAATGAACCTTTATTTTATTCCTTTCTAAAAAAATTAGCAATTGTACTGCAGTGCGCGTCCAACCTAAGGAATGAGGAGAGGGGGAATTAAACTTTTTTTTTGTGTATACTTTTTTTTTTCATCTACAATTTTGTTATTTATATGGAAACAGGACTTAAAAATGGAACAGCTATTAACCCTGGTGTATTTGAATGACAAGTATGCGATTACCTACTTAAAATAACAAGTATAACTGTAAGCCTATGCAGAACTTGGCTACCCTTACATTCTGAGGAAATTCGAAATCGAACGCACAATAAATTTTGTAAATTAACCCTTATCTTCCCAAATTAACTCTAAATATGAAAAAACTTATCCTATACACTAGTACAAATTAAAATATATGGGTTCTGAATCGTGATCTAATGATTAATTGAGTTTGATATTTTTCAAAAGCACATGGCCGGATGTTTCGCGCCGTTTATCCTCGTCGCCAATGTTGTAATGACATTTATTACATAAACAAGACAGTTAACAAATACACAAATATACAAAGATAACGAGCGCACACAGCAGCAAGTTATTATGTATGAGAGGCGCACACAGCAGCCCCAGACCGCACACAGCAGGTCGAAATAGTTCACAAAAGTTACCCGGTGGTTATTCACACAGAATGGAGTCTTCTTCTACTGGCTACACACGAAAGCGTGACGTCATACGCACACATACACAAAAGGGGTACACCACGGGATACATATAGAGGCTCGGCACAGGATACATACAACGAATTGTACTACACAACTATGAAAATAATAAAAGATTGTTAATATTTTTACTTTAACTCAGAAAATTTAGTCGTTTCTACATTTAATTCGAAATTTCTCTGCATACATGCAGATTTGTATTTTTTTACTCAGCAACTCATTATTCTACAACTGAATGATTGTGCAGCTGTAATTTACGATTCGAATTTTCGGAAAAATTTCCACAATGCCCTATTCATACGTTAGTAGCAAACAACCAAGTACATCCATACCACATGTTTGGTCTTAGTAATGTGAGGCTACCATTACATATTCTGTACCTTAATTAATACCTAGTACATGTACTGCCTGGCATTGTGCTTGCTTTGCATGTATATAAAAAGAATGGAAAGTGTAATTTCTAAATAATTTTTGATGCATGTAAGTGGACACTGTGTATTTGTTACGCAAATTAAAGACGAGGGTTTTTTTTTGGATCAGTTGATTTTCAAGTTAATAGGCAGTGGAATTTCTCTTGGTGTCCTTTTCTTCTTAGTTCAGCCGATTATACTGATTAGTTCATTTCATGAACAAACAAAAAATTTAGCAAAGTTTTTTCTGAAAATAGTTATATCAAATTAGACTAGAGACTTTCCAAATGTTTTCGTCATACATGTATCTGAACGTTTTCCACAGTCTTTGGACCCCTTTCTACCTTAAATTACTCCTGAATTGCTGTCATTATCAATTTGCACTTCCACTTCAACATACCTCAGCACGCCATCGATTATCACTGAATTTTTTTCCAAGTTTAACAGAACAGTTTGCACAAGCTTTTGAAATTAGCACTTATAAGAGATTAGTATTATCCTCCAATATCTTCTATTCCAGCTTTAAATGCTATATGTTTCAGTCTGTCTTCGAACTTTTGGTCTTTTCAACATTCATGGTACGACACCTCTATGTTCCTCCAATATCTTCTATTCCAGCTTTAAACGCTAAATGCTACATCGCTCAACTGAGCACTGTGGCTAGGAAAAAGCAAAAAATTTCCAGCATTGAAAAGCTTTAATGCATAAGGGGTCCCAACTCCCAAGATAATCCTAAATGGAGTTAGGAGGGATATGATTTTGATTGCCTTGAATCTTAATTAAGAATGCTTGCATATTCATTGACTGACTGTGGCGTTTTCTTCCATACGTTTGAACTTTAATTTTCGCCCTAACCTACCCCAGGGGTCATGTTTTGAAAAAAACAATAAAGTCTACATAACGATGCTTCCAATTAGATATGACTAGTTATGGCTGTGTTGTTCTTGAGGGAAAAATAAAAGATGTGTTTTTTTTAAATTCCTTTTTAAATCTTTGATCAACTGAATTTGGCTTAATGGTTCTTAGGATAAATTGGATGTCCATGATAGTAAGAATCCTTATCATCAAAAAACAAATTAAAAAAAAATAGCAGAAACACTTTAAATAATTTATTTAATCAGAAAACCAGACAAGAATCCTTCCTTATAATAGATCGATCTAAAGAAAGTTGATCACGCCATGTCCTTCACTACATGTATTCTATTTTAGGAAATGAAGTCATTCATCAATTAACCAAGAACAGACCGTTTCTGTACGTGTCCATTACTCTGACCAATGGAAACACTCTATATCAACAATACGGGGAATTCTCTGTAAACAACGAGACAGACAACTACAGACTTTACCTGAATGGACCGACCGAAGGGACCTTAGGTGGGTCGTCAGAACACTTAGTTGGATGAATTTAGAATCTTTATACATTTGTAAATTATTAACGAAATCAAAAACTCTAGCAGTAAATACGTTTTCGGGTGATTAAAGGTCGAATAATGTCTTGGATTCAATGTCTGGGACTACCTAAGTTGTTAGAACTTGTGTCCGATCCCTTTGACATATTGTCAATAAAATATGTTCAAAACAAACAAGCAGATAAGATCACAATCCTTAAGTACAGGTCTCTGTAAGAATCAGACAAAAGGTGAATCATGAGGGTACTCAGAATTCGATGATGTTTCTCTTGCACTATGAATCACGCATGTAAAATGAAAATTATTTTGGGTCTTGGTTACTGTGGAAACATGGCCTAATAAATTTTCCCTAGCAACAAAGCAATTTTCCATGTGAATGGACAAATATATCACTAAACTTGGAGGTTTGAAATTGAATGTGAATATTACCGGAGGGGTTCTTAATTAATGTCATCATAAAGATAAACATTTCAAGTGATAAAACCATTTAAGAGGCAGTCCACTGAAAATCAGGCAATGGGTGGCACATCGCATGTCATGGATTTTTATTTTTGTTTGCATGTAGACTTACTAAAGCAAGTGTTTACACATGACAACATCAAAAAAAATTTTAGTGCTCCACTAGTCCTATTTTTGGTAAGTGCTCAATTTTAAGTGCAAAAACGTCAACATGGGGGTAAAGAAAATTACTACGTTTTTATTTTGTTTTATTTGTACCAGATACGCAAAACCTGGATGTATCTATCAATATTATTTATACCATATACTCTTATCTTTAATTTTATAAATGAATAAGACTCCAATTTATATTTTTTTTACAAAAAATTATGTGGTCCAAAACTGAGTTTACCAAGTAACTTTTTGAATTCATTATCCAATTTTCATTACGTTATAAAACCCAGTACATTACAATGACAGATTTTTTTTCTCATGTTATTATGAATACAAAGTACAAACTTTTGAGTCACTCAATAAAATCAGTGGGCACTGGTATATTGAGAGAAATAAAAGGAGTCAAATTTACCTATGTTTTACAAATTTGCCCAATGAAACCGATCCCGACCGGAATTATATAAAGAAGGGAATTCTATAATTGTAATGTTAAATTTGGCTCTTTTGTTGTAATATGGTTAAAAAACTACTTGATATATTTTTTTTACATGTTTTTTCGGTGGCAGTTGTCTTTAGTTTTATAACTTTACACATTTTGCATTATTTTCAATCGGGATCAGTTTTATTTCAATCGGGATCGGTTTTTACCGTAAAACTAGAAATATTCCTAACTGGTTCTTCTGTTCGAAAAATATGTTTGTCTTTTATTTCTGTTCAGTCAGTCAACTGTTTTAAAATAATTTTAGATTCAAATGTATATACAATGTATTTAAAATACTAATATCTTTTACGTACATGAAGATTACAATCATGTATAACATCTGTTTGATTTCTTGATACTCGGTATTAAAAAAAACAAGTATTTGTACATGCATTATGCAACAACTGAGAGCATACAGCTTATCTCTATTAAATATCTGATTTCCAAGTAGTTTTTTTAATTTTCTTAGGAATGAAAGAGTTAAATTCTATCATTGGCGAAATTATTCTTGCACGTACTTAAATGCAGAAAATATTTTTATGTGCACAGTCTCGGCTTAATCCAAGTTCTTTTTAAACCTGTCATCTATAAAAGCCTTTTCCCCTATATTTTCATATTTTAAAATTTAATTTTATATAAATAAGAAAATAAGTTGTTTCATATATAATGTTATTGTTTAAGAACCATAAATCGCAAGCAAAAATCAGGTGGGGGACGGGGGAGACGGGGGGCAAGGCGGCATCTTTTTTTAATGGTTTCATTAATGTGAAAACATTTTAGAATTGGCCAACATAATCACATGTTTTAACTCCTTATTGACTGTGAGTATGTGATTGTTTCAATCACCAAATTTAACCCCAAAAAAACAACAACAACAACAATACAAACAAAACAAAAAACACCCCACAAAATCTTCCGTTTTAGTGCCAAATTTAACTGGGGAGTTCAACAGCAATTTTCCTCAATAAATATTTTTTAATTTTATTTTTCACCTTTACAATAAAATATCTTTATTTGTTCCGTGGATCGTTATTTTGGTTTGACTGCATAGATTAATATGATCAAGGTCGTTTTGAATGTCGCAGTTCAACTTGAAATTCTTTTTTTTTTTTTTTTACAAATATCATGAAATAAACATCACAACTCCGTTGAATTTCATCTTTCCTTGATAATCAGAAGAAAATGAAATCTCTTCACATCCCAATTTTATAAGAAATGTCCAATACAAACAATTAACTAGTTCTAATTGTAACGGGGACCGTTACAGATGTTCCCCAAACGCTCCCCAACTCCCTTTTCGTGCCATATTCCCTGTAAGCTTCATTAAATAAGGCAAACTCTATGCATTTTACACTTTAACAACGTTTTCCTAGAAGTATACCAAGTATCTTTAAATTTCAGCTTTGCACGCGTGCGCATGTAAATGCATGTGCATATTGACCATATTAACTTGTCTACGCTATCTAGACATTTTAATATACTAAATGATGTAGCATTTAATTCAAAAGTTAAAAAAATACGCTAATTCAAGTGTATTTTTAAATTTACTCATTTTACGTGCACGCACATGCATGCATGTGCATGATGACCATACCTTCTTGTAAGGATCCATTATGTCTATCTATGTTCTAAATCTCATCCTGTTTTGTTCATAACCAAAGGAGTTATAGCCATTTAAAGTTTCAGCCAATCAGATTGCAGCACATGTGCATGGGCATGCTTTTATGATAATTCTTATATATAATGCTGTAGATCTTCATAGTGTATGACCATGTTCAAAATTTCAAAGGATTTTGTCAAAAAACAAGAAAGATATTGAGACTTTAGTTTCAGCCAATCAGAGCGAAGCGCATATGCATGCGCGCGAGATCTTGCTATTTTGACCATGTCAGCATGTCCATACAACTTATATATTTTCTTATTATAAGTTTCAAATCATTTCATCAAAAAATAGTAAAGTTACGGCTATAACTACCGGTATTATATTGGTCATTTCACGTGTTGCATGTGCACGCTCTTGCAAGCACGTGCGCGCAAAATGACCTTGATTCCGCAAATCTACATAACATGTCTACTGACCCTAAAAAGGTTTTACCTACATCAGATTAACAGTTTGCAAGATCACTCCCGGACAAAAAAGTACCCAGGAAGAAGAAGAAAAATAATAATAACTAGAAACGATCTCGTTGCAAGCAATGAGAGGTCTTCCGTCCGATTCTGGAAAAAAAACTCGTAAAGTCGAGCTGAGAAGTGATTAAAAATTTTGGTCACAAATTGAATCCAGGTCGCCAGCGTGAAAATCCAATCCGCTTTTTTCCCTTTTATCTCCAAAGCGCTAACCATTACCCTATTGGAAGTACTGCTCTAGATGTACTTGTGTATACTTTTGCTACAGTACACCTAAGAATTATAAAAGACAGGCCATTATTCATAATTTCGCGCCAAACGCCACGTTAAATCTTCGTGCCTTTTCATTGGACTGATCTATTAAATAGGTGTGATAGCTTCAATGAAATTAAGAAAAAAGAATGTTCTCATAGCCTACATTTCGAGGTTTAGAAAATATTTTTAACACATTGTACACATTCTATAGAAAAGTAACACAAAAGCAGTGAAATGACTATAATTTTAATTCTTTTTTATTTCCCGTCTCAGAAATGTACTATGCCGATTAGTTATACTTTCCTAAAAGGGTTGAAATGTTTCGCCGAAAAACATGCCTCGCTCTACGACAGTCATGGAATCAGATACCATTTATGTTCAATAACTTGATTCAGATCTTTGAGAAAAGAATGTTAATATAAACTCCATTAGACGATTTTATTAAAATGGTTTTCTTATTTCTGTCTTTTCTATTCTTTTAATATCACACAAGTGTGCATGGGAAAAACAATGGTTATACGTTTTATACTTACTCTATACATGCATCGATATTGTTTCTTGAAAAAATATAACTTATAACTATGATTTAAGATCTGTTTTTCCGTCTTGCAAAACAAATGATAATATAGGTATCTCTCATTTGCACATTTAGTCTTTTCTTTTTCTACTTTGAGAACCAACCAAAACCAGTTACAGAAGACGTTTGAGAAGACCCTGGAATAAATCTTTAGTTTGACACAGAATTGTAACGTAATTACTACGTGATCTATTAACGCGCAAACCATAAAGCTATTGGGAGCACTGCTCTAAATATACTTGTGTATACATTTGCAACAGTACACCTGTCTAAGAATTATAAAAGGCGGGCTCACTATTGATAATTACGCGCCAAACGCCACGAGTAAATATTCGCGCCTTTTCTTTGGACTGATCTATTAAATAGGTGTGATAGCTTCAATGAAATTAAATAGATAAAACGTTTTTATCGTTCTTTATTTTATTTCGACGTTAAGAAAGTATATTTAACAAATTGTACACATTACATATTGTATCTAGCCCAGTTACACTTAAGCAGTGAAACGGAAATTAAGTTTTAAGATTGACACGTTATTACAACGTACTACTACGTGAAAGTCCAAGTAGTTTTTTATATTTCATGTATCCTTATGTCTGAATGGTTTAATCAAACGCTCAGCTGCCTCCATAAACCCTTACTCGCGAAATGGCGGAGTTGAAGAGGCAGACGCCATCTTGGGCCCGCTTCAGATTTTCAAATATTAATATCTAGAGTTCAGATTAACCAATATTCAAACAACTTATATAGTAAGCATCAATAGAAGGGTCTCTGTTAATATTCCAAAAATAAATTAAAAATATTGAAAAACAAAAAAGTTAGAAAATACAATTTTTTAAATTCGTTTCTCCTAACGACAGGAAGTAACGACGACGAACGTAAGGTCGCGTCCTGGATAGTATCTATCACGATCTAT